TATTATTACTTTTTTTTTTTGAGATATTGGTAATTTTATACGATATTTAATAATGATTAAATATTATTTTATCATAATATAATATAATTATATTATGATTATATTATTTTATTATTAAATATTATTAAATATTATATTTTGATAAATATTATTTATTTATTATGGATTGTATTTCAGGATTTCTGGCCAAGAAAAGTTTAGAATTGGAGATAAGCTTTATCGAATTTGATAACTGTTATGAAAGGACTAATATATATTGGCATTGTAACAAATATCGCACAATGTGATATTATTTCGTTATGGATTGTATTTTAGGATTTCTGGCCAAGAAAAGTTCAGAATTGGAGATATGCTTCGAATTCGAGTTTGATAACTGTCATGAAGGAAAGGGATAATATGTATTGGCACAGAATCGACAGAATTCTTTTTCTACTTTCTTCTTTGCGAATCACGATTCTTTTCTCCTCGTGCCGGATGTCGGTTCATCTTTTCTGACTACATCGACTCCTCCTCTTCTCTAAGACGATCAATTTACCCTTCTGAAAGATGTCAATAGTCCATCCTATTTTGGAAAAAATAATACACACTGAACCAAAGATGTAATTGAATCCTTTTAACGTTATTTTAACAATTTTAAAATCCTAACAAAAATCTATACTTCATATATAAAGTGAATATCAAGAAGAATAATTTATAGTCATAAATTTTCATGTTTAAACAATTTCTATTCTCTTCTCTAAGAGATCAATTATTCTTCTGAGAGATGTACATACTTCTGATAAAATCCATTCTATCTTGGAAAAAATAATACACACTGAACCAGAGATGTAATTGAATCCTTTTAACAATTTTAAAATTCTAACAAAAATCTATACTTCATATATAAAATGAATATAAAGAAGAATAATTTATAATCATTAAATTTTCATGTTTAAACAATTTCTCTTCTCTTCTCTAAAGTAATCAACTTATTCTTCTGAAAGATGTACATACTTCTGATAAAATCCATTCTATCTTGAAAAAAATAATATACACTGAACCAGAGTTATTTTAACAATTTTGAAATTCTAACAAAAATTGTTTCTATATATATATATCATAGAAGAATATATAAATTTTCATTTGTTTAAACAAAGAATCTTTTCTCGAATCTTTGATAAATAAATTTATAATTATATATTTCCTTTGTAATTTCCAGCGTCCTACTTTTCTCTTAACTACTATCTAGAAATTAGAAGCGGAAAAAAAGAAGAAGATCTTGGCGGTATTTTTCCAAATATCTCAACTCGTACAAATTAATTAAAAAAAAAAAAAAAAAAAAAATTCGAGAAAAGAAAAATTCTCTCACGACTCTATGAATCTCATCAACATTTCACGAACGTATTCGCTATTTTCCAAATTTTCTCTTCGATTTCGATTTCGACGACGATTAAAATTTTATTAATGGAAATATAAATTTAACAAACAAAGAAGAAAAAAAACTTGTAAAATTGTCTTCTTGTTCCAGAAACAACGATGGAAACGAGGATTCCACACGCGGCAAGGGAAGAAATAATCAGGCAACGGTGCTTATATAAAAATATTAAACGGGCACAAGTGTCGGCCGTCTTTTAATAGTTCGCCTAACCCAGTTTCCCCTCTGGAACACTGGCCATGTTTTCCGCGTTTAATCTCGTCATGGGACGCGATTTCTGCTCGTCGATGTTTCGCTCGCGACAACGTCGCCCAAAAATCGTTTCCCTTTTTCGAAAGGGAGGCTTAACGAAGGTGGATCGATGCCACTTAAAATTCCTTCCCCGCCCGGTTACGTGACGGAAAATGTCGTCTCCCTTCATAACGAAAATATGAATCCCGGATCTCTTCGTTACGGGACAATTAGGAATTAATTGCGCTCTGGAACTTAACGAGTTCCAACCTCGAGAGTTTTCGATCGATCTCGAATGTTTCCTCGTCGAGTTGCTGCCATCTTGGATACCAATTTCCGCGTTATATTCTATATAGAATAACGTTTTTAACGAATTTTGTTAGTGCGATTTTCATTCATATTCAGTGTCATGTGATTTTTCAACGAAGGTTAGGCGATATCCTCTTGGATATCGTTAGAATTTCTTTTTTTTTTTATTATTATTAGTTAAGCTTGTAATTTGATTATTGCTAGAATGTATAAGGATTTATCATTAATCACGTGGAATATAATGTAAAAATTGAATGCATTGTATTCTGATAATGAGACAGATGAATCATATAAGAATGAAAAAATTATGAATTTCATTATTATGACTTTTGGAAAAATCTGGATTAATTATTTTTGGAAACAAATTTTTAATGTTTACAAAGTTAAGGAAGAAAATTTAATTTGTGCATGTATATATTGTTATATATAGTTTTTATTTAAATTTATAATTTGATGATTCCAATTTTATTATTATGACTTTTGGAAAAATCTGGATTAATTATTTTTGGAAACAAATTTTTAATGTTTGGAAAGTTAAGGAAGAAAATTTAATCTGTGCATGTATATATATTGTCATCGAGTTTTTATTTAAATTTATAATTTGATGATTCCAATTTTATTATTATGACTTTTGAAAAAATCCGGATTAATTATTTTTGGAAACAAATTTTTAATGTTTGCAAAATTAAGGAAGAAAATTTAATCTGTGCATGTATATATATTGTCATCGAGTTTTTATTTAAATTTATAATTTAATGATTCCAATTTCATTATTATGACTTTTGGAAAAATCTGGATTAATTATTTTTGGAAACAAATTTTTAATGTTTGCAAAGTTAAGGAAGAAGATTTAATCTATGCATGTATGTATTGTCATCGAGTTTTTATTTTAATTTATAATTTGATGATTCCAATTTTATTATTATGACTTTTGGAAAAATCCGGATTAATTATTTTTGGAAACAAATTTTTAATGTTTGGAAAATTGAAGAAGAAAATTTAATCTGTACATGTATATATATTGTTATCGAGTTTTTATTTAAATTTATAATTTGATGATTCCACGAAGGAATGATTTCTTCTATCTAATCACTCCTGATCAACTCATCTGTAATTAGTTTAATTTGTATATTTCAATCTTACAAATCTGATAAAATGTTAAATAAAATATTAAGGTACTTATGCTCTGAAGGAATAAATATAATTCGATGAAAGAAAGATAAATATTTTTTCTAATCAATCACTCGCATATATAATTTTATTAATTTATATATCTCGATAATGTTACGAATCTTGGTAAAGTTAAAATGTTAAAATACTTACACGAATGATATTTCGTATCAAAGTATCGATTTTTATTGATTCCTTTGGCTAGGAAATTTTTATCACTAATAAATATTATTACACGACGAAGAAAATTTCAATACGATTGCAGACAATTCTGCGATCAAAGTCGATGAAGGTCTAAAAGCTTCGCGGGAAGCACTCAACAGGGAATGTTGCCAGTCTTGTTATCAGAAGTTCGTTAAGCTGCGTGCTAAAAGCCTTTTAGCGATCACTTTGTGCCCAGAGATTTGAACTCCGTATCCTTAAAATATGATCAAGAAGTTCTACGCGGGATGTCGTATATTTAAAACAATTGGCATTCTGGATAGTTTCTTTGGTTCAGATGAGATATATCTGCTGATTCATATGTATTCCTATGTATTCATGTGTGATAATGAGTGAAGATCACGAATCGAATTTTGAAACTCTGTTTTCAATTATTGTATTCTCTTTAATTAGATTTTTTTATAATTATGAAATTAACTCTATATTAATATACTCACACATGTGATGATCCATGATGACTCGTATATGAGTCAAGATCATGAATTTTGAAGCTTTATCAGTTTTCAATTATTATTCTCTCTGATTAAATTCTTTTTATAAATTTTTATCTATTTTATCTTTATATTATATATTATTTTTATTATAATTTATTTATTATTTTTTTAAATTTTTATTATTTTAATCGATAAATTATACGATTCGAAGATTTATTACTTGTAGTTAGATGCAAGAAGAAATAATTATTGAAAAAAAATGTTCAATATAATAACAATATTATATGCAATATTAATGAATCAATAAATGTTATTCACGTGTAAGGAATAATTTAATTATGATTGTAATTTTTAAGTAGTGTGGGGATGGAATATAATTTCCCCTATCTTTATTCATTAGAACTAGAAATTCTAATTAACGTTTGATCTATTGAACTCTCGTTATTCGTTATTACGAGAAATTGTAGATAATTATACAGAATCACTATAGATACTTGTTATTATTAATTTAATACGCGAGTCGTTTATCCTTCGACAGGTTTCTGATAAATGGAATTCTAAGGAAATACATTTATCATAGCATTGACATAGGATCATTCATAATCATCCATTAATCCTTTATAGCGATGAATATCGTTCTTATTAATGTTAATTATCGTTCGAAATTAAATATTTGATTCCACTGTTCAAATTTTGGAGGCTATTAAAGTACAGATAAGAAGAAATTTATTTTTAGAAAATATTATTTTTCTAGAGATATTGAAATATGTGATCTTTTTTTTTTTTTNTTTTTTTTTTTGGATAATGTAATATGTTTTAATATTGTGAAAAAATAAAGGAATTCGTTGTTGATGATCTTGAGGATTAAGAACCCCTAAGCAAAGAATATTTATAATAATTCATATATAAAGAATTGGACATTATAATTAAATTGGATAATCATAATTTAATCTCACGAATATGTCTGATCTGTTATACGTGATCGATTCTGAAAGTATCTGAAAGATAATATTAATACAGGAAAATGTGATAAAAACATGAAGTAAAAAATTTGTTGGGGAAAAGATCGAAATAAAAAATTAGAGCGTAATCGAATCTTAACTTAAAAAAAAAAAAAAAAATGGTTGAAAAAAATTTCGAAAAAGAAAAAAAAACAGAAAGAGAGAGAGAGAGAGAGAGAGAGAAATTCTTTGATTTCCGTCGATCATCACACCTCCATATTAACAGCACAGTTTTATTTTTCTCCGATTCATTGATCGATACAATCGTACAATTTTTCGATCGATAGATAATTTTTTTCCCTTCCTTTTTTTTCTTTTTTTTCGTTTTTTTTTTGTCCATTTTCTCCTTTTTTTTTTTTTCCTCTTATAGTTTCTTTAATTCTCGATTACACAATGGCGCAGACTGCATTTCCGCGACTTAGTGAATCGTATCTGAGTTGACACGAAATAATTAACGCTTACAGTACACTTTTCATTACAGATTCAATAATATATATATATATTTATATATATAATATATAATAGGTATTTATATATATATATATATTTCTTTATGTACAGAGGGCAGCTTGCCTAGTAGGTTTTTAACGCCGAGCAACGACTGAAGTAATCGGATTGGACGCTTATCCCTTTTTTTTTTTTTTTTTTCAATGATAATTGACGCCAAATATCGATGCGCGCATTGTTGCTCCTCTCCTTTTATATCTATTCATGGTCAAAATACAGTGTGTGTATGTGTGTATATATATATATATATATCGTGGAACGCTTAAAAAAATCTTAAAATAAACACCGTTCTCGGCCTTTGTAAGCCTTTCATTACATATTACAACGAAGAAAATCAATTGAATGCCCCGTAATTTGCTTTTTCCAAACATCCAAACATAGATGTTTGTCCACAAGTGACACGCGAATACGAAGTATATCTTTGCCGGGATGGTTGTCTCTCTCGGAAGTAAATTCCTCTATGGGTGCGACTCGTTCACTGAACGTCGATAAAAAAGTTTGCCAACAACGAACATCGATTCTCTCTGTTTTATCGTGCGAGCCTCGTAATTCATCGTTAAGATCGTTTCGAGAAATGGGGGGAGGGCATCGACGCGCGAGCAAGCAAAATGGCCGGCATGCTCCCCACCTTCCGATCGATCCGAAACAAATTCTTCCTCTTATTGTCACGCGATTGGTAAAACAATTGGGAGAACAACAAGAAAGAATCCTTGCTTCCTCGATTTCCTAATTTTTTTTACAAAATTTAACAAATTTCCATTTCTCTTTACGCTTTTAATTTTTTCTCTCCTCTCTCTCTCTCTCTCTCTCTCTCTCTCATTCTCACTCTCTCTCTCTCTCTCTCTTTCTCTCTCTAATTATTTACGGAATAATTTTGCTATAATACTTCTTAGAAAATTTCCAATAATTTTTGCTATTCGTTTTAGCGTTAATCACACGCATTGTTAAAGAATTACAAATCTTCTCTCACCTGAGAATATTATTTAATCTCACACGAATTCTCGCCACGTTTAAGCTCCCCCAGCTGATCGATCGTTTTAAAAATTTCTCGATTTTCTCGAATTGGGAAATTATCGTCTCGAGATGGGGAAAAAAATGAATTCCTCCCGAGAAGAGGAAGACGCCGAGGTGTTGAACGTTTTTTTTCTCGAGATCCACGAGACGACGAGCCTCGTTTCGAGCGTCCACGTACGCCAACGTACTTCAGCCGTCGCCGAACAATTTCTATTAACATCGTCTCAGGTGCTCGAGCTTTGAACGAGCCATCAAGGAGGATTCGAAAAGATTTAAAAGATTGTGCATCGGATCGACGTAGTCGAGAACAAATATTCGGTTCGAGGGAGAATCAGCCTCCTCTTGGTGAAAAAAAAAAACACGAGCACGCTTCCCCCCCTCTCCCCCCCCCTTACGAGAAGGGAAAGGAAACGCCAATTGAGAATACAACACGTACAGATATATTTCGACTTTTTTTTTTCTTTTTTCAATTTTTTTTATCCTTTTTTTCTTTCTTTCTTTCTTTCTTTTTTTCTTTTTTTTTTTTTTTTCTCGTTACCAGAATCGCCCTAACTCGTCGTTGTTGCGTCGACAGTAGGGGCGCCGAAGCCTCGAACACGCTTGAAAAAAAAAAAGTGATCTTATATTGTCGATGGAAACGAGTCAGTGATAGATTTTAGTGACGCAGAGATCCTCCACGCGGATTTTATTTTAATCGTATCTTTCTTTAATATATATATGTGTGTGTATTTCTCAAGCGTGGACGGTGCCAAATCCTTATTCGCTTCCCGGTCGAGAATTTTCAGATCTTCGATTTAAGGTGCGCTTAAAGTCGTCAACGTTTTGTCAATTCTTCGAAATTGAATCGAACTCCTTCGAGGGGGGATTTCGATAAATTTAATTCGAGAGATCCGGAACGAACTGACCAGGGAGAGGAGGGTGGAAAAAGAAGAAAAAAAAAAAAAAAAAAAAAAAGAAAGAAAAAACGGGAAGGAGATCGAAGAAAAGATGACGCCTTGAATCAGTTCGCTCTCGAGTTGTCTCTGAAGGGACAAATCACGTTCTGCCTCGTTCGAATGTTCATCCGCCTTATCTTTCGTTCGAATGTCTCATTCGAAGTGAAATCGAGCCTTTGAGAAAAATTCTTTCCTTTTTTTTTTTTTTTCGATTCACTTCAAACGATTCTTTCGCTTATTGTCCAGCTTAACGTCGATTAATCGAGCAGAAAACGAAAAACTTGGAGAGATTTGATTAATTTTTCAAAATACGAATTCCTTCTCCCGATGTAATTTGATTGTAATTTTTCTTTTTCTTCTTTTTTTTTTTTTTTTTTTTTAAGAAAATGTTAACCGAGCGAATGTGTGCAAGAAAGAAATTGGAAATCAAAAGTTACAAGCGACAAGAATCAGCGGGCGAAAAAGGCGGTAAATTTAAACGCGTTTTTTTTTTTTTATTCTTTTTCTTGTCACGAACAATTCAAGATTCAGGATTCGTCAGAATTCGCTCTTTGCAAATGTTCATCTTCCTGAAATCCCTCTTTTCGAGTTTCCCCGTCGAACCCAAGGAAAAAAAAAAAAAACAAAAACAAAAACTGTAACGTCTGCTCGTGATCGGACTCGGATTAGCTCGATGACACCTCCGCGCAATCAGGCTACAATCGTCATACATATTTATATATGTATTATACAGGGCGAATCGCGTGACTAATAAATAGTAAGTCAGTGAATCGATCTTCGAGAACGTCAAAACGATTATTAAAAAAAAAAAAAAAAGAAAGAAAGAAAGAAAGAAAAAAAGAGAGATTTATTATATAAAAAAAAACTCGAGTTTTTCTCTAATTTTCCAAGTGAACGTCGAATATAACTCGGATTATATTATCTAACATTCCGTATTATAGTAAATTCAAAACAAACAACGAGTCGAAGAGAATGAAATTTAAATCGTTAAAAAAAATAAAATCTCCGAGTAAGATATTTTTCGAAATTAAAATAAGAAGAATTCGTTTAAAATTATCGAAAGGAAATTTTTCGAACAATCGATCGATAGTTTCGCAGTTCGCCCTTGCGCATATACATAATATTTTGTGTACATATATAAATATATCGATCGAGAAAGGAGGAAAGAAGAAGAGCGGAACGAAGAACGGCCGGAAAAAAACAAAGACGAGAAGAAGCAAAGCGAACCGAAGTGTTTATCGCTCGACCTTCCTCCTTCCCCTCCTCCTCCTCTTCCCTCTCTTTCGCGCTTTCTCCTCTCTTCTATGCACACGCATACATGTATACACTATGGATACACACGGGTCACATACGCATACAGCGTTCATACGCACACATGTACATATAGACATACACGCGTTTCTCTTCTAATATTTATTCTTCTTCTTCTTCTTCTTCTTCTCCTTTTTCTTCTTCTTTTTCTCCTTATCTTTTTACTCTTCTCGTCGATTATCGTTCTTCTTAATATCTCTCTTGGATTAGCGATCGTAGATGGGCGTCCACGTTCTTAGCAATTACAATTGTCGTCTGTTGGATTCGTCGGCTGGTCGGTGAGCCGTTGACCCTTCGCCTGGCCCATTCCGCCCGCGATTAGGGTCGGATCATTGTCCAGGGATTCGCTCATCTTGTCGCATATAATGTCCACCAACTGCTCGAACACCGTCTGCGGATGAGAAATGATTAGATCTCTCGTCAACATTTCCTTCCTTTCGAACCAAATTCTTAGCATCAAATTCTTCTACGTAGTTTAGTTTTTAAAATTTAGTTTTTAAAATTTAGTTTTTAAAATGATCGTAAAATTCGTCGAAGATTCTTCGAAAATAATCAATCGACGCCTAATTGATCGAAAAATTTAAATTTAGTTTATATCTATGCTCACGTTGTGCAACAATAAACTCGCAATTAATTCCCTCGCGAGTTAGACGTTTTTTTTCTCATTAATCGAAGTGTATTTGCGTTACTAGGATGTGTAACATCCTATTTTCATTCCGTTTAATACCGTTTAAAATCTGATAAAAAAAAAAAAAAAGCACGAGCTACGTCACGACGAGGTAGGTCTCAAGGTAGTCGCAATCGTGGGCGGGAAAATCGATCGGACGAACGTCGATACGTCGGTGTGAATAGATTCGACCCGTCCTGCTGCTGATGATTAATGGGGATCGGAGCGGATAATCGAGGATATCTGGAAGGTAACGATGCCACCGTGTTTACACACACGTTGCGGATAGAAATAAACGTGAGTAGGAAACGTGACACCGATAACGTTTTTTCAACCTGCGCTCGGTTTAAGTTGGGATAATGGGCTGGTAAACAGGCGAGGAAAGAAAAATGAAAATGGTTTCTATGCTATGTACGCGTTCTGTATACGCGACTTTCATAAAAAGGTAGCTTGTATAAACCTGATCTATCTACCTCTATCCAGGTTTCGATCTTTGATGAATTATTGTTTAAACCTTTGTTTGAATTTTTTCTTGGAAATGGAAAATTCGAAGATGAAAGTTGATTTTAAAAACTTTCGCACAAATTCCAGATCTTTGGATCGAATACGACGAATTATTGTTTCTCGTTTAAATTTTCGTTCGAATTTCTTCTTGGAAAATTCGAAGACGAAAGTTGATTTTAAAAACTTGTGAGAAAATATATCGATGGATTTAACGCATTTCTTTTTTTTCAGTTTTTTTAAAAATATCGTTAGATCAATCTTTTTTCTTTACCTTAATGTTAATATTCTCTTTGGCCGACGTCTCGAAGAACTGGACGCCCAGTTGGTCCGCCAATTGTTTGCCTCTCTCGGTGGTGATCACCCTTTCGTCCTCCATGTCGCACTTGTTGCCGACCAAGATCACCTGGGCGTTGTCGCACGAGTACGTTTTGATCTGCGTTACCCAATCTTGCACCGAATTGAACGACTCCTCGTTCGTGATATCGTACATTAGGATGAAGCCCATCGCGCCTCTGTAATAGGCCGTCGTTATTGTTCTGTATCTTTCCTGACCTGCAGTGTCCTAAAATACAATTGATAACGATTAACGGGATTGACGAGATCGTTCGAAATGAATCGGTATGATCGGTTAAGGAGAATTTTTTCGTGAAATTTTGTGTGGATCAATTCCTTTTTTTTCTTTCTTTCCTTCTCGTAAATTATATTTTTTTGTGCAAGGAGGAAATATGATTTTAAATAATTTGAAATAAACAAGTCGTAAACACTATAATACACACGGAGTTGAATAACAAATGATGGCGAGCGTGGGTGAAGGTAAATATTACGACTTTCAACCTATTGTATTTTATTTGCGAAATTGAATAGAATGATTGGTGAAAAATATTTCTCTCCTCCTTCAAAAATTTTACGATTTATTTTTTTTATCATGTTTTGAAAAATGTTTTGAAAAATGTCCAAAATGCAATTACGTATTTTTCTTTTTATTATTATTATTTTATTCCTTATATATATTTTATTTTTATTCCTTATATATTTTATCTATTTTAAATCTTTTTATTTTTATTCCTTATATATTTTATGTATTTTAAATTGAAAGCAAAGAGAAGAAAGGAAGAGAATGGGTTTATCTTTGGAATTTTGCGATTTCTTTCGAAAGAAGCTACGTAACAAATTACGGGAGAATGTATACTGACCCAGATCTGTAGCTTGACCCTTTTGTCGTGTCTGAAAACCGTTTTCACCTTAAAATCGATGCCCACGGTCGATACGAAGGCCGAGGTGAAGGAATCGTCCGCGTAGCGGAACAGGAAGGACGTTTTACCAACAGACGAGTTCCCAATGATCAGCAGCTTGAACATGTAATCGAAGTTTTGGTCCGCGGCCTCCTTCTGAAATTTTGGATCCTGGCCCGCCATCTGGCGAACAAATTTCCATTTAAAAAACACACGTACGTTCGACGATTAGATTTACATTAGATTGAGTATCGATATTGCTATAGATTTGGAATTTATTAGGAATGGTTTTAATTAATTGTGATACTTTTTTAACATTTAAGTCAGATGTGATATATCAATGTGATTTTTACATAAAATTAATTGATAGGTTGATCTCTAAGCTAGTATTCATTCATCACTACAAGAATACACATTTATGAACACATTTTTCTAATTGTATTCAATTATTATTGCTATGAATTTGGAATTATTAATATTTTTAATTAATTATGATACTTATTTGTATACAGATCTTTTTTAACATTTAAGTCAGATGTGATATATGTTACCAATGTGATTTTTATATAAATTAATTAATTAATAGTAAATTAATTAATTAATAATATTAATTAATAGATCGATTTCTAAGCTAGTATCACTACAAAATATACATTTCTTTAATTATTATTGCTATGGATTTGGAATTTATTAGTACTTTTAACTAATTATGATACTTATTTGCATATAGATCTTTTTTAACATTTAAGTCAGATGTGATATATGTTACCAATGTGATATTTATTTGTATACAGATCTTTTTTAATATTTAAGTCAGATATGATATATGTTACCAATATGATTTTTATGTAAAATTAATTAATAATTTAATCTTTAAGATAGTATTCACTCATCACTACAAAAATACACATTTCTCTAATTGTATTCAATTATTGCTATGGATTTGGAATTTATTAGTATTTTTAACTAATTATGATACTTATTTGCATATAGATCTTTTTTAACATTTAAATCAGATATGATATATGTTACCAATGTGATTTTTATATAAAATTAATTAATAGCTTGATCTCTAAGCTAGTATCACTAATATACATTTCTTTAATTATTATTGCTATGGATTTGGAATTTATTAGTACTTTTAATTAATTATGATACTTATTTTCATATAAATCTTTTTTAACATTTAAGTCAGATATGATGTATGTTATATATGATTTTTATGTAAAATTAATTAATAATTTGATCTTTAAGCTAGTATTCACTCATCACTACAAAAATACACATTTCTCTAATTGTATTCAATTATTGCTATGGATTTGGAATTTATTAGTACTTTTAACTAATTATGATATTTATTTGCATATAGATCTTTTTTAACATTTAAGTCAGATGTGATATATGTTACCAATGATAATATTTATATAAAATTAATTAATAGATTGATCTCTAAGCTGATATTCACTCATCACTACAAAAATATACATTTATGAACACATTTCTCTAATTGTTTAATTATCCAATTATTATTCGAATATATTATTGTTTCCTCTGAGACTCGATCCTAACTATTCTCTATTCATCACCATGATATCAATTTGGCATATTTATAAATTTATTACAATTCTGCACGATAATAATTATCGATTGATCGCATAAAGTATTCAAAATTCACGATGAGTTTGGAAAACTGAACTGAAACAACATAGATATATCTCCACTACTTTGTACTATACCACCGTCATACATAATTCACTTCCTTCTAATCTAACGTTGTAATTGTTGTCGAACTTGTTGTTCATCGTTTATCGCGAGGAGGAGAAAAAGAAGAAAACGAATCGCCGCTATAATATAAAATACCGAACGTCTGTCGCGTGGGGTGATATCAACGATGGACATCATTCGTGCCATTCTCGTCCTCAGTTCCAGCACGGAATCCTTCACAGGTGGCCTGGTATCCTTTATCGAATTCTCCGCCCGATTTTCGAGTCCCTTCGACATTCCAAGCGGGCAAAAATTTTTTTTCCCAAAAAATTCAACGAACAATTTGCAACGAAAGATCGCGACAGAAGAGATATATGATAAACAGCGCGAAGAAAATAAAATTTTTTTTTGAGGGGGGTTAGAAATATCCACTTGTGTCAAGCCAATTGTGTGACTCTTGCGCGACTCTTTCGTTTCCTTCCGGGTTTACCCGTTCCTCGTATCTCGTTCCTTTCGACGGTATCGCGGTTTCTCTATAAACACGCCCACACCAGGGCTGGAGGAACAATGGCGCCAATTGGGTGCTCATTTTTTTTTCAAACTTTTTTTCGATAAATTTATTACTACTCGTGTTTTTATTTAATGTATATGTATATATATATATATAGAAATCAGGAAAGTGATTAGTTGATATAATAATAATAATAATAATTTAGAACAAAATTTTCAAGTTAGTCAAACTTTTTTTCGCTTATAAATTAATATTATAAAATTAATAAGTTTCGACACAGTTCATTTATATATTCATTCCAATTGTTGTATCAAATAATCTAAAGAAAAAAAAAATTTTTGAAAAATTTAATTCTAATGTATAATATAATATTCGTTTTCTTTCATATTGCTGTCATCCCATTATATTGCCATCGAATGTAATTTCGTAGCCGTGATAAACCGCACGATCGATAATCCCGCAATGGGAACAATCAAATCCGATAACCTCGAATTACAGGTGGATGTATAAAAAAAAACACGTGGTTCAATAGAATCCACGATTCATCGATTCCTCTCGTTCGTACGAAAGCAATATACGAAATATTGCGACGATTTATTCATTCTTTATCATCGGTAGGTAACATTTTTGGAAAATTTATTTTTCGATTCTCAAACGAATTTTTTTTTTTCTTAATCGTGAAGTTCAACGATTTGTTAAATAATTCATTCATTGTAATCGAGGATTATGCATCCTATGTTTTCCTAGGCAAATGTAGGATAGCGAGTCCGTGTTTCCGGATGCTATAGGTGTGGCTATAGACGTGTGCAGGTTACGTGTACTAATGAGACGGTTGATGGTTTGAGGAAATAGAGAGACGGTGAAGGAAATAAGGAGATAAGAATATTACGTCTGGCATTGAAACAAAACAGTACGTCTATGTGACAAGACTAGAAATTGCATTATATAATTTGTGATAACGTGAATAGAAACGGTTCTTAACTTATTATTCGTGTGAAAGATAAATAATAATAAATATATATATTTAAAATAATACGAATAAATCACAAATTTTTATATATTTTGGATATCCAAGATGCATTAATTATAATGCATTATAATTTGTGAAAATAGAAACAGTTCTTAATTTATTATCTATATAAAAAAGATAGTAAAACTTTTATACTTTGGATATCACAATATATTTCAACAACCTGAAATTGCATTATATAATTGTGAAACGGTTTTTAATTCATTATTTATATAAAAAATAAATAATAATATATATAAAATAATATGAATAAAAGGTAAAGCAAAATTTGTATATATTTTGGATATCACAATGCAGTTTAGCAACCTGAATTATATCATTTGTGAAAATATTCATAATTCTTAACTTATTATTTATATAAAAGGTAAAGCAAAATCTTTATATATTTTGGATATCACAATGCAATCTGAATTATATAATTTGTAAAAAATATATAATTCTTAATATTATTATTTATATAAAAAGTAGTAAAATTTTTACATATTTTGGATATCACGATGCATTTTAATCCTGTGTGTTATTATTATGAAAGAAATGAAATTATCCAAGTATAAAAAAAATTTTCCTTATTTATGTATCACATATTGCTACCGTGCATTTTGATTTAAAATTGCAAAATATTCATATAATGATAAAAATTCACCAATTATGAATTATAATTAAATATGCCAATCATTGGGACAAACTTTAAAAATATTAAATATGACACCAATCACATCACTATTAGAATCGTGAGATATCTCTGAGTGAGCAACGACTGAATCGATGATCGCACTTATCATTTATCGGTAAGAACAAGAATAAAATGGAGATTAACTATTTTTCGACAAACTATTGTCCCGAAAAAACGTTGAAAACATTGGCAGATCGATCAAGTGCAACTGGAGAGCGATCTGTGCAGTTATGGCCGAAAGTAAATTTCAGAAATGGAAGGTCTATAAATAAACTGTGGACGTCGAGGTCCACGGACACATAGTTGGAGCTTTTTACGCTTGGTGGGAGGGATCTTATCGATTTTCTTCGTGCTCGAGCCTGTAGCGGAGAACTACAGATTTCCCTCGGATTTCAAGTTCCATCGTTTCTGCCCCGCTCGTTTCTACGATGCTCGTCAAACTAAATGCTCCTATCCCTTCGATAAAAGAGCATCCAGACGCTTCCCAGACTCTTCATAAGTAACTCGATTCTCTACGAAATTGTTCGGTAATTATCCTTCTTCTTTTTTTTTTTCTTTTTCTCGATATCGATATTGGCCACCAACCACCAGATATCGCTCTCCAGAGATGTTCAAAATGGAGAATGATACGATTCATCGTAATAAAGTTCAGATTTCAGAAAGAGATTAAACTGAAAAAATTCATGATGTTTCATTGCGAACCTTTTAAAAGAATTTGAAAATAATTGTGGAGAAATTTTTTTACAATGTGTCTACAGTCTACGATCATTTTGAAAAATTAAATTGCGGAAAAGATTAAATTTTTCCAAATTTTAATTCCATAAGGTGTATCGATATTTGAGGCCAATATGATTCCAAGTTTGATTAAAATCAAATAAAGGGACTGTATTTGAAGCAAGATTGCACACAAGATTCTGTAATATTATTTTTCGATTCATTTTATATTATGATATTGAAAATTTAAATTTTATATGTAGAAAAGATAAAGAGGATCAAGGACAAATGAAGATTTATCTCCTTTCATCGAGGAATCATTTTTATCTATCATCGGGAGAAAATTTGATTACGTAAGAATGGAGATTGATGAATGAAGAAGAAGTGTAGACGAAGAGTTGAACGATTAAGCTACTGATATTTCAATCAACGAACGACGTAATACAAATTCGCATAATGGAACGGTGCAAAAATCAATATATAACGTGAAAATGAAGAAAACGAAGAAATCGAGAAAATTGAATGTTGGAAAGCTTGACGATTGATATTCCAATCGAAAAATATTACGAAGAAGATACACGCGCATCAGACACGCGCGCCCAATTCTTCAAGCGGCAGAAGAAAGTGGAACAAGGTTCGCGATAATCGTATCGCCTATGTTAAACAGTGACGTGGTGCGCACGAATGCATCCAGAAGGATGCGATAACGCGTTGCACGAGCACACTCTAACATATGTAATATGACGAGGAAGAAGGAGGATTAAAAAGATGTGTAAAGATAAAATCGATAGGGCAACACTGTTTTCCATGATCCTGGCAAATATGTGTAATGATTTTCGGATGATGAATTATCGTTTAATTAAGAGATTGCGTTGTTCTGTGGAAAATTAATTTAAAGCGTTCCTCTAAAAATAAGTTTTCGAAAACATATTTTGACGTCAACTATGACGTTCAGAAAAAAATATGCATATATTCTTATATAAAGGAATTGATCGATTGACTTTGAATAATTTCAGATGGGTAAAGATAAATTTGAAATAAGATTTTTATAATTATGTTTCATTTGCAATCTGTTTATGTATCTTGATATCAATCTAAACTTCTTGCTTTGCATTGTAAGTGTAGCATTAGTGTAGCAATAATCTTCAAACATCATAAATCAAATGTTCCAATTAAACTTTTAACAGGAAAAAATTTAATTGAAAATTAACATCTCGTTTATGGAATGTTTATGGAAAGTTAGAAATCTGCATTATAACAAATAATATATCTGTACAGCTATTGTTGATTTATTTTACTAGATATGTACATATTGATAAATTTATATGAATAAAAGTTAAAAAAATAAAGATTCCTTTTTAAAACTATTAACTTCAGCCATTGTTGAAGTTAAGCATCAAAAAACAACTAGATGACAATAAATTGTTATTGAAACGAAACTTTGGATGATGAAATGTTTCAAGCACTCGTATCTTTTCTATAGTTAATACTCTTCAACAACTGACACACAGGTCTTTGTGCTCTAAGGGTCTCTCAACCTCGAATACATTCAATTCTTCCATGAATCCATTAAAATATTAAAATTAAACAATCTGTATCTCGCAAGCTTTCTTGTAACAAACCACAAGCTTTCTTGATTAATTGTTATCAGGATCATAATTAAAGATTTGTGACTTTTGTGAATTATTATAAAAATTGAAACTTTCAAATGTGCTCTTCTGCTCTAAATGTATAATTTTGTATATATAAAGTTTATTGATTGTTAAATTATATTCTATATATATTTTAATCTTTAAATTATCAGTAAAGTATTTATAATATAATAAGAAAAATTATACTATGTTGATAATAGTATATGATTATCAAAAATATAAATAACTCATTTTTTTAATTCATCAGCTTAAATAGTGAAAAGTTTTGAAATAGCAATTTGATAAATTAAATTATTGAAAGATGATTAATTGAATTTTGAAAAGACTTTCCTAATGCGTATTGTATGATTAATTTTTTTTCAATCTTTCCTTCAGGATATATCAACAAACAAAAAACAATCTACTAATATAAATTAATATTCAAACACGATTCTCAAACAGTGACACAAAATCCCTTTGGCATCCATTGCCTGATCATAAGTTTTTTACATTTACAATAAATTTTTCCTTTTCTAAAACTTTTTCTTTAAAGAAGAATCATCAACGAGTAAAGAAGAAAATATGAAGAATCGTGAAGAACTCTAAATTACATCCCTTATACGTATGACTGTATTATTCGCAATAGAACAAATATTTTTGAAAGATCGATTCCCAACCCCTGACCAACCATGCCGCTCGTTACATAGTTTCGATTTAGCAGAATGAACGTAGAACGGAAGATGGAGCCTCCGTATATGTATTCCGTGACGCTCGAATTTGGATTCCGAAAACGCGTCCAGATCGATACGCTCGAATTCCTCGATATCGGCGATGCCTGCCTGGTCGATAAATTCGGTCGCCAAATCGATCGCCTGTTTCGATATACACATATATATATCCTCGATTCGTTAATAAATTTCTTCTTCAGGAGCAGCACGAGCATCATACGTGTTCTTAAACATCGACGTGATCACAGCTGACATGTCTGCCCTTTCAAGAGAGGAGAGAGAAAGAGGGAGAGGTATAAGAGAGAGAGAGAGAGAGAGAGAGAGAGTGGTGGGAAGGTCACACAGTTTGGATCGTCATCGACAGTCAGATTGAAATTGTATATAAAAAAATGACGAAACTTGAAAGACGATCGAAATTCATTATCCTGGATCCTGCATAGCAATCCTGGAATTCACACTTAAATTTTTTTTTGAGACGCCATGAATTCGAGATTTTCCAGATTAGATTGTCAAGGCGGTCTTTAATCATCTTTAATCACGAGGATGAGAAGTGATGCATAAGCGGGAACAAGCAGTCGAGGCTCGTGTAAGCGCAGAGTGCATGAAAAGTTGATTCGACGGCCACAGTTTCTAGCATGAGCGAGAGGAAAACCGTGAGAGTGGGAGAAAGATAGAGGGAGACAGAAAGAAATCAATAAGCGTTCTATCGACGAACTGGCTGGTCGGACAGAAATGTGTTTCAGCCTCGAAATCGCGGGACTCTGAATGTATTCCGTGAGGATGTGACCAAGCCTGAATGAAGCTTTCTCGTCCGACGAGTCATTCCCGACATGTGTACCTCCTAAAAGTGTTGATCCTTTCACGGTCGATCGCTGAATAGTAGGAATGCACAACGCGCGCTGCACTCTGGGCCCCTGCACCTGGCCTCGACGATAAAAATGACTCCGACGCTGATACGCGAGTACAGAGTTTCCCGACACCACGGCGACGTAACACACGGCAGCACAACAGGGATGGTTTCACGACGATTTTAAGGAGACTGGACTGGCCTCGGTAAAGCCTCGCGCCACTGTAGCCCGCTATAGCTAAAATATCGACCATTTCGTGGACCCCCGCCCGTCCTTAGACCAATCCCGAGGAAGGCCGCGCCTGCGCCACAGGCAACCCGACTGACATCTCGAAACTATCAGCAAAACCCATATTTCGTGCGAATGACACTTGTTGATTTCACGAAATTTCAATTCCTACGACAATGCGGCCAGTTTTTGATAGTTTTGAAAAGATATCTGTCGCATCGATCGTCAATCAGTTACCCACCATGGGTAAATTATCCATGCAATTTGTCAAATAATATAGAAATATAAAAGTATCGTTCTGAAATGAAATACCATCAAATCGTAAGCAAAAAGTAAAGGTATTTGATACGATTTCCCACAATTTAGAATCGTAGTACGAGTGCAGATAGTTGATGAGTGTATAAACTATATATTTAGTGAAAATATAATTATATTATATATATATATAAAATAATTATTTTTAAATATTATATAAAATATGCAACTTATCATTTGTAGATAATATACCGGCACAATAACAATTAATTTTCCATCCGTCGATAATAATAATAAAATATATCTTATATACGAAATTTATATATGATTTTAAAATATGCACAAAATTGAATACATGCTTAATAGTATAATAGTTAAATTGTAATTAATTTGATTTCCTCTCACTCGATAATTACACTCAGTAGATAAAGTCTAACATCATTTATATCGATAACTGTATAAGTAGTTATCTACACATATATAAATATATTTCAAACAAATATTTTAAGATATGAAATATTTTAATATGAATTTTCAAGTAATTTTATTAATATTTCGTTAATTTTATAATTTGATTAATTTTACTAATTTATTAATGTAATATAATAATTTATAAATTTACAAATTTTAAAAAAATATTGTTTTTTGGTTGTTTTTAAATAGTAATAAATTTTTATCTTGTTCAATTTTTTGAGTATATATTTTTTTATAGTATATATTTATATAACTATGAGAGATATATTTTTTATTTCTTAATTTAAATTTTATATGTTAAAAATTAATGATTTTTATTATTTTTTTCTATAATATATCTCTGATAAATTTAACGTGTAAATTTAAAAAAAAAATTTAGAAATAAATAATATATATATTCTATATCTTTACATTTTCACTTAAATAGAAAATCTATCAAACATTAATTGATTACGAATAATTAATTCAACTTCAATTAGCTTTTTCATTTTTCTTAAATTATTTGCAAAAAAAAAGGAAATTGTATTAAAGATTCTTATTTTATACATCCATAGATTGAATTAGAAATTGCTAAAGAATATAAAGAAGGAAAGAAGAATATTGGGTTTTTTCTAGAACAAAGGAAGTTCTTTATAAGAAGTTATGTTGTGTTGATGTTTTGTTTGATATCATTGGAAAAAGAAAAGTGCGCCAGAAAGAAAATTAAATTGTACAAGGACCATTACTGGACGCACAATATGAATACACAAGGAATACGTGAGGGGAGGAGGAAAAGCAGGAGAAATCGTATCAATTTTATTTCATTTTTATCTAATATTTAATTTTTAAACAAAAATAAATTTTCTATAATTGTCAATATAAAAAAATAATAAAATTTTAAAATAGATTGAAATTTTGATAATTGTAAAATTTATTATCAATAAATATTATAAAATCTTAACTTAAAAAAAGATTATAGAACACATATTTCTAAAGGTTATACTATACCACGAAAATCACTATACAATCATTCAGAATCTCGAACAATAGTACCTAAACTAATCATGACTTGACGATTTTCATCAAGACTCGTTTCATACATACTAGAAATCCATTGCCTCATCTCCCATTGCTTCTCGATATTCGACAAGGCGTCACGCAAATTAAACTCAGAAGTGGGTCATTTATAGGCAACCATACGAATATTCCTAGAAAGGGACATATAACGACATCTGGTATTTCTCTCAATGACGTTTCACGGAACGAAAATGTAGATCTGAGCTAAGATCCTTGATAAAGAGATTGTAGAGATGCACGACAAATTCGAGATGTAACGATGACCATGTTAAATTAACTTAAATTGTCTTCTGAATAGGGAGAGAGGGGGAAGGAAGAATATGCAGAAAGCGATGTTCTGAACAGTGTCACGAGGAAATTGCGTGGTTTTAGGATGTGACTTCTGCTAAATTCCAATTCAGTAGATATTTGGATTGATTTTAAAATGAGATGTAAGTCAATTATCTGAAAACTTTGACAATATTTGAGTAAAATAGGAATTTATTATTACTTATAAAATGTTATATATTTTTTAACAAGATTGTATAAAGTTCTCAATAAGAAAGTAAAAAATGTTTAATAAGAAAATTGATTTATTTTTATATTTTTTCAAATATAATTGATTACAAATTGATAATCTCTAGCATATTTATCGTATATATATCGTACATATATATATTCTTAATTTTTTTTTCTTTACACGCCAAATCATTTTCATTCCAAATCAAAATGAAGGATCAAAGTTTCTTAAGTAAGAAGAAAGAGGACAAGAATAGAATGAAAAAAAAAGAAGAAAAATATTGAAAAAAAAAATGTAATGTTAGGAAAAAAAAAAGGAATTAAATTCCGCGATTGAAGGGATGGGCGGAAATGCAGGTAATTTAAAATATCTCGTTACATGTGTACAAAAAAAATTACATTTGTAATGCCGCTTAATACTAGGTGCTTTCAATTCGAATTGGAAATTACTGGATGAAGTCTACTCGCCGGTGGACCGTGCAACGGCACATCAAGAATCCCAGTTATCTCTCCAACCTAACCTGAAACGATAAGAGGGACGTTTACGTAAATTTGTTAATAAAATTATCTTGGAAAAAAAAAAGAGGATTGTTTGACCTTTTTTCTCATTCTTTTTTTTTTTCTTTTTTCATCTCTTGGTCACAAGGGAAATTCATATTTAAAATTATTTTTTCATCTTCAGATTCATTTATTATTTTTTAAATATAAAGAATTTAATTTTATCTTATCTTTTTATAAATCAATTCATTATTGTATTTAATTATATCATTTGAAGATTATTATTTTTGTTTGAAAGATGATGTTATAAATACTATCATCAATATATCAAAAACAAAATTATCTTTTTATTATATATACATTTATGAATATCGATTCAAGAGGATAATAATATTGAAAAATATTTTAAATTGTCCTAAATATATATGTATATCACATTCAAACTATATTTATAAGTTAAATGAAATCTACACACACATATATATATATATATATATGTATATCAATATTCATAAAATTAACATTACCATTGACTCCATTAAAAGATATTCCGTTTCATATTCTTTTATTTCTCTTATCTTTGTAATTTTACAATTTTCTTTTCATTAAAAAAGAGAAAAATAAAGATTCAATCTCTCTCCACGGAAAAATTCTTTTCTCTTTCTCTCTTTTTTTTTCAAATATTCAATTTTTCATCGCGAGTGGCGGATGAAGAAAAATTGTTTTTCGAAAAACAATATCCAGTTAATCTTTTCTACGCCCTGAGAAAGTTTCTATTTCTTACGTTGCCCGCGTTCCCAATGGATAGCCTCGTTGATTCTATTTCGTACAATCGATTTTCATTCAGCTGCAGTTGCTCAGGGGCCTCGGTAATTAATTCGCTGAATCTGGCGGCCACTTGCTTCCATTTTACCAGATCAGCCGGCTGAAATAGCAAAGTGAGATCGATCAGTCGTGTCGAAATCTTCATTCATGTGTTTCGTGATTCCTCTTTACCCGTTTCGAACATCTGGATTCGAAAGCTGAATCGACGAAACATTTAAAAAAAAAAAAAAAAAAATGTTTTTATAATAATAGAAATGAAAACTTAAAAGATCCTTGAATGAGTTCAATTTTTACATACAAAGAACAATAAGCATAAACTGCAAACTTATTAATTGAATTTGTTATGAAAGATCAATTGAATTGAATTTTGTGATTCATAAGAATGTTTAAATTATTATATTTATTAAACATGAGAGATTATTTGATCATATGAGAAATAAAGTAGAAATATCCTTTGCCTCTGTGAGGAAAATTGTACAATTTAAAAAAAGATAGAGATGATAGAATAACGTTTTTGTCATACGAAACTTTTCGTTTCCCAGAAGCTTCGAGTATATAGATGCATATGATAACTTTTTCTACGCGAATAAAGAGGTCGAATGGCTCAAAAAACTTTGCACATTTTCAAAGTTCTAAAGTAATTGGTATGCTAATGTTCATTCAGTTCTCTTATCAGAAGGTACCTCGCCTTTTTTCACTACATCCTCAGTCCCAAGAACAAAGTTTCCTTTTTAATACAATACAATAGCATCAGGTTGCTTGTTATTCCTACATCCTCTTACTCTAGATTATAAGTAACAAACTGGCGGCACGTGAATCGAATATCAAAGCTTCTAATAACAAGCAAGTTCTTCGCAATCAAACGAAACTGAATGATAAAAATTTAACATACAACTTTCTACCAGTTTTCTCAATGGCATAATTCAGACTAATTTTTACTGCTCGAAATTTCAACTTTCAATAACAATATATCTTATTTCCTTAAAACAATTGTACTTTTATGAATATAAAAACATAAGGCAATCAAATTACCACGAAACGAATTATCAAAAATGAATTATCGGAATTCTTCTTCTTAGTTGGTCAATAGAAACCAACATCCAGATCTCCTTTCAATCAACAAAGCGTTTGTGATATTGGTTATCGATATATATTCCTATATACCAAGCAATGTATATATAAGGCAACAAGCCTTTGATCCCAGATGTATTTGACGTCACTACAGTTATTGGCTTCTTTGTGAATTGCTGTGGCACGTACTGGCAACATCGGGTTCCGCATATCTCTTATGTCACAACTCGTAAAATGATCGTTGTATACAAGCACGAGCAAGCTAAGGTGCGAATATTTGAAAGAATTGCTCTTGAAACTATTTCTTTTTAAACTATCTTAAGATAAGTAATTCTCACTGTTAATATAGAATCTTTTTGCAAAAAATGACTCTTAAAAATCGTTTTAAATGTATTCATACCTTCACAAGAATTTATTTGCAAATAATGTTTGGCTATGATGTTATGTCAAAAGAATTTGTTCTCGAAGTCAGAGTACATTTGGATTCTCTCTCTCAACGAATTTAACACTGTATTTATATGAATATGATACTTTTCTAACTTAACAAATAGTTTGCTCTAATGCAGGTACATTAAAGCTTAGTCATAATATGATGGAAGTTGAGATGAAAGTTGTAATAACGTCTATCATGGCATAATAATGGAATTCTTGATGAAAGACGAGTAAATTAAAATATATTAATATGTTAAACTATCGATCTTTGAAAAGAAAAAAAATTTCAATTATATGTTATTCACTTATATGTTTTAAATTCTAAACTTTAATTGATTTTATAACCTCACTATATATCATTTTCACTGAGAATATAATTACGGAATTGTTGAATCTCGTGTTTACCCTCTTACGTTAACGTAGGATCCTGTTTGATCATTAAAATTAAGTTGCGTTGGCATGGTTAGCACGATGTACAGCTGAAAGAAAAGACTAACGAAATGGCGTAAAAAGATATTATCTTTTGTCGTTGACGGATAGTATAATGTGAACTTGCCCGTAGGTATCATATTTTTGTCTATTATAATACAATTTGGACCTTATATACCATTACGACACCAATACGACAATATTTCAACCATGAATCCAAATTTATATTATTTTGATGATCCTTAGAAGCAGAGACGAACGAGAGTTTGATCTCTAGTGTGGCAATTTTATTTCATATTCGGTTCGGGTCTGGGATAGTTTACCGTTAAAGTGAAGAAGACTGGAAGCAGTGCAATCGGAAGCGGTGAACCACGAAGCTCTGATCTCTCGGATGGAGGACCAGAAAGGGTCAAGTGTCTCAGTAAATCAAGAAGACCAGCCAATAGCTCTCCATGACGACCACCAACATCCTGTCGTATCAATCCTAGGGCGTCTCTGGCAATCATGTGGGCGGTCACTCCGGGATTATCAGCTGGTTATCACGTAAAAATGATTTATTTAGTTGTATTGATTCTTTTTATCTCGAAGATATATATTGATTCATTAAAAAAGATTAAAGATTTATAACAGAATGATGGATTTTGTATACGTTATTTAAAGAATGATTAGATATATTAGATATATTGGTTTAATTATAATTTAATTATTAAGAGGAATAGAATTTCTATTATTATATTTGAGGAAATTAATTCTGAATATAGTAACTTTTAAGTGAAAAATTTTCGACGAATACTTCAATGTATAATTTTTTTTTTACTTTATAGAAAATACCTTATAGAAAATAATTCGATGTTTCTTTTCTATATAAAATCATAATTGAGATATTATCCATTTTATTAATTAGCATATTGCTTTCTTTCCTTATAATACATATGTGTGGTGTACTTTTATCTCAATTTAATAGAAAACATCGTATAATTATTTTATATAACGAATTAATTGACAGTTTTTTAACAGAGAGAAAAACTTTTGCTCTATAATTGAAAAAATAAAATATATTTCTTCCAAATTGTGAAAATTTTAATAAATTACTGAAAAAATTTTTGTCGATCTTTATTTATCTTTCCAATAACAAGCGTCGATTTTAATTAGAGCCGCGTTTTTTTTTAAGCGTTAGGATATCGTGTCGAAATCTGTCAACTTCGTTATTCAAAACGTGTCAAGAGGAGGGGCAATATGAGTGTACACTGTTTGCAATTTTGAGGTTAGGTAACGCGCGGAGAATTATTACTTAAGCGAACTCGTTAATTTTATCGACGATGCTATCCTTTCGCCAAATTGCACACGGATACGCTACGTGTGCGAAAATTTATTACATTGTTCATAATGCAAATGATTCTCGAATTGTTCTAGTCGCATGGTCGAACTGGCCGATATTAATACAACGGAAGTGAAGAGAAACAAGAAAATTTAGTTTATTAAATTTATGTCTACTATGTGATATGATATAATATGATATCGTAAAAGGATACATATTCATTCGTATGTATCTATAACAGTGGTTCTCAATCTATGAAATTAATATAATATTAAATTGCGTCAAAATTTTTAATAGGTTATATGAATACGATTTAGAAGAAAAATTCTATTTGCTCGACTTGATAAGTTAATTATTTATATTGCACAAATAAATTAGGAGAAAAGATAGAGCAGCCTCTCGATTTGAGTTACGATATTAAATATTTGCATTGAATTTTTAAGGAGTTCTAAGAGATTTAAAAAGAAAAGAATTCCATATAGATCACATTTATGCAAATATTTTCTTATAAAGTTCTAAATGAGAATAATGGTTTGAGAATTATTTTAGGAACTTTTTAAGGAGGAAAAATAAAGAAAATTCTTGGTTACCCAGAAGAAGCTGCTGGACGTGCTGGGGCATGACGGGTTTCTTTAAATGACACAAGAAAAGTTGTAACGCTGCTGCGCATTCCAAAGCCGCGTCATTGTTCCCTAAATGAGGTTTCTCTCCTTTCTTCAAAGAATTTAAGATCCTTCTTCTGAGATCACGACGGCCTGCACGTCGGAATAAACCTTCCTCTCTGGCATCTTGAAATCGCGAAAACAGTTTTTTGAATTTTTTAATTAAAATAATTAATCGATGGCGCAAGGAAAAGAAAGTGAAAGAAAGAAAATTTATTTAACGGTGTTAATTTATAAATATGAATGAAGAAATGTATATTGCGATTCGTATTTCTTACGTTCTTTCAGGAAGTTGATGATCTGCTTCACCGTCTGCAACGATTTTTTCGATATTATGTCATCGTCTGTGTCCTGTCTGCGAAGAAATATTCGGTGGATGAGCTTTCGTAGCGCCATCTACGATGGTGAACGATACTTAAAGAAAGTAACTGGATATAAAATCGTTAAAGGTGTAATCGAAAAGGAATTTTCGAAAGTTTTAATAAAATGTTTTAAATTTATATGGTATAATGAATTTTAATTAAGCTTTCCTTATAGAATATTAATCGAAATTTTGAAAGAAAATAAAACAGTTCCCGGCCATTAAAAATTGCGCTCTTTTATTTAATCTTTATAATGTATTAAGGTTATTGCTAATAACCTCCCTTTATAATTTCGCGTCTTAAACTGCTTATAGTGTTAATTAAACATCATGTCGAGAGCAAAAACATGAAAATATTGTACCTAATTTATATTCATTTTCCCTCAGCTCGAACTTAATTAAACCTAGAATTAAAATTAAACTTTTTAATAAGTCCAGCTTATTATTAGTTGTATAAACTTGTGTCAGTATTGTTTCTTAATTCTGAGAGCGAGATTTAATACTCGTAAGTAAAAAAAAAAAAAAAAAAAAATTGAAGAATTACTAAAATAAAATTATCGTTAAAAATATTAAAGAAGTTAAACGAGATTATTTGTATTCAATATTAATTAAATTCTTGTTAAAATTTAAAAGAATCGTATCCTTCGAGGAAACACTTTTTTGCACTTAACGAGAATGAATATTAGTAAGGAGAAAAATCTTGTGGACTATAAACGTAATTAATTTTTAATTAATTTTAATAAAAAAAAACGGGAATTAGAATAATTGTACGGAAAACACGAAGTAAGTTGAATACCAATTTTTAAATATATATCTTTATCACAGAAATTATTAATTCCACGATAAATTTATTTAACAACAACAATAATAATCATGTTTTATTATCATTCTTAACCTGATGACATATTTATGTTTAAATTTCGATTGTCTTTGTGCAATATTTAATTTCCAACGAACTCAAAAAAATCGAAATGGAAACGTTCAATTTTTTTTTCACATTAAAAAGAAATTAATAATTCTTCAATTCAAAACAATTTATCTTAACCTTATTTCGTCTCTCTCTCTCTCTCTCTCTCTCTGTTTAATTAAGTTTTATTTCATGCAATCTTTATTTCTCTTCCGCTTCTTCAATATTTATATTATTGCACCGATAACTTGTCACGATGGGAAGCGGATCAAGGTTAACCTAACCTCAATCAATGAATCATCGGAACGATCTCCGTTTCCGGCCACGTAAAGGAAATACGAGATTTTTACGCAACAAGGAGGAAGTATCCTCGTCGATTCTGTAACTTATAAAAGCGTGTGGGATCGATCCGATTTTTAATCACAATCACATTAAGTATGTTCGATCCATCCTTTCGAAGATTCTTTCTACTCTGCTCGCTCGTGATCGCGATCTCAGGATCGCCACAATCGTGGAGGTGGGAAGGACAGCACATCAGAGATCACAGGCATGCTTCCTGTCCCTCGTGTCGTCGAGAACGGCCAGACACCCTTGTTTCGTGGTAAGAGACTCGAATTACTTGTGTATCCATATCGATACGCAAATCTTAATACTTTTTACAAAATTCTTTTAGCAACGAACAAACCATTTGATGATCATTTTCTCTTGACGAGAAGAGCTCTTGCCACGCAGAGCATGCTATCCAAATTTTCCACGATATTTATAAAGATCCACGTATAAATTGCCGAAAAGTTTGTTAGTAAACCAGGTTAACGAAACTCTCTTCCAAAATTTCTCTTATAATATGAATATTCCGCTATATATACACATATACACACTGTACTATACTGTTTCATAACTCTCCTCCAAAATAGTTTTCAAAATTCGAAAAAGTAAAAATTAATTTCTCTCTATCGAAGGGACGAGCCAACTAGAAGAGAATACCGTGGACTGGAGCCAGAAACCAATTCTTGGCAGATCGGTCAACCGTACCGCCTATCACCCTACGCCAATCCGTACGAAAGAGGCGTTAGAGGCAGAGGGAGTTCACCTTTCGCACGATCAGCAGCCACCTGCAAACGCGAGAATCCCTTCACCATCGGGACGGATTTCGATTTTGACCTGGCTCCTCCGCAAACCGCCTCTATCCGCGGCGTGAACAGCCTCACGGACGCCACGAGCTGGTATCGAACCTTGCCTGAACCCTCGGAGCCCAGATTCTCTAGGAGCCAAGCAAGGGGAACGTATCAAGCTAGGAGACCTAATTTCTACGACGTGATCAGAGCCCAACCCGACCCGTTCAATAAACTGTATGCGGACTACGGCTCGTCCAACGATGAATTCAATTATCAAAGTTCTTCGAACAACTTCAAAAGACCTTACGAGGGATCTTTCAAGAGAACGATGCACCGGGATGACAAGTATTTCGACGACACGTTCATCCAGAGTAATCCTATGAGCGAGACACCTGGCCAATATAACAGAGGATGGAACAACGAGGTTTCGTATGGGAGAGATCAAGTGAGAAATCAAGGATTGGAACGGTATTTTCAATCTGGAAGGAATCAGTATGGAAACTCCAGGATGACCCACCACTCCTCCTCGCCAAGAGTCAAATACAATTCGCATAACCTGCCAAAGAATCTCAATGCGTTGAGAATGGTGCAGAGTGTGGGAAGAGGGGGTATGGAGGTTGTTAATAGTAGCAGGTAGGAATTAGGTTATATTACATTGCATGCATTAAGAGTGAGACAGTTCTTGGTGAAATGAATTTTCCAATCCAATGCATTGAATATGATATTTAATATTTTAGAAATATTTTTTTGGAGATATATTTTGTGATTCTATAGATCATATCTTAATTCTTGTATTTGTAATAATAATTCCTTAGATTAAAAAAGGAATATATACAGAAGTGTAATAAGGATACATTTGTCTCACTCTGTCTTCTGATATAAATTGTTTATAAGTTAATGAATAAATCTAAATCTATACGTTTAATTTGATCTCTAGATTTGATCTTTGTTTTTATTCAATACAGAATTAAACTATAAACTATAAACTTTACTTTTCCTTCTTTATATGGAGAATTCTCTAAAAATGACTTACATGTTAAAAATCTTCTTATTATTTAAATTTTCAAGTTAGCCAAGTACTGGCTTGATTAAAAATTAAAAATTCAATTAAAAATTTAAAGGCTTGTTCTATGAAGAATCTATGACTTACATTGTTTCTAGTTTTCTAGTTTCTGAACTCTATCTATAGAAATTGATTTACTATTTTTCACAGCAGATGGCAGAAGCAGTCAGAAGAGCAGGAAGAACGGGATACAAGGAATTACGAGATCGATGAAAATGATGATCAAAGGGGAAGAGAAATAGACAATGATTATCAAAATAATAAAGAATTCGAGTCTCACGAGATGATGCAGCAAAAAGAGATTAACAGAGATGTTTCGCGAGGAGGCAGTAATTCTGGGGACAAATCTGTGTTCTCGAGGAACAGCTCCCAAGGTGAAACTTCCTCGCAGACTGGATTGGAACTGGAGAAAATCACCGATTCTGCTCGTGTGTCTGAGGAGACCACAACAGGATTATGATTGTCCTTTGATAGGTTTAGAACTGACGGTTCTAGAGCGATCTAGGGAATTATCGTCGAGAGATTGGTAGATGTGTTAAATGTATAAGTACTTGCCATAAACTATGAATTCTAAACGAGGAATGCTAATAATCTGTGACTGTTTTATAAATTGTTTTGAGAAATAAATTTTCGTAGAAAAAATTAACCGTTGTTTCGTTCTTTTTTTTAACCCGAGAGATGTAAAAAGATCGAAAAGAAATGAATATCGGAAAGAATAAAATGTATCGTATAGGTGTTTTATAAAAATAATAAAATTTTTTTCTTTGTCTTTTTCATTGAAAATATTTTTTTTTTTTTATAAAATTTCATCGAAAATATCCGTGAAAATGATTTTACGTGTATTTATACATATATATATGTATATCAAGTAATGTGTTTACTGATGCGATATTTAAATATTTCATACGAAAAATGTGTGATCGTTGATACGATCGAATTAAAGTAAAAATGATAAAATGAAATTTATTCAATTATATGTAACACACGGATATTTATTTAATTATATTACAATGTCAATATGAAGTTATGAATTCTCTAGATATATACAATATAATATTATCTTTCAAATTAGATTAACATATAATTACAGAACTTTATACACTCTTATATAGTGTTCAATGATCTATAGCAATTGCAATAATAAATTGAAATAAAAAATTAAAATAATAAATTGAAATAAAAAATTGAAATAATAATGTTATAAAATAGGGTGTACATCGTAATGGAAATTGATCTCAAGATATATTCGAAGATAAATTTCAAAAGGAAGAAAATAATAATGATTGCAAAAATATTCGAAAAGAGAAATATACATATATGTATATGTAGAAATAAAAATGAGAGCGTAAAAAATGAGGAGTGTAAAATTTTTTACTCGATGATTCGTATGACCCCGATTACAAGTTGGAGGTAATAACTTCTAGTGAAATTATTCCATAGAGGTGTTCTCTGATCAAAGAAGGGAAAGAGGGAATTGCGACGATTCTTGGGAGAAAAAGAAATAACGAAAGCATTGTGTCAAGATTAAAAGCGCTCTTTAAACGCGAAAAAGAAAAATTTCGATCACGCCAGAAAAGAAAAGAATCGTGAGAAGAATTATAAAGCAGTCTAACCTTTGCTACCTTCCTGACTTCTTTCAATTTCTAAAGTTGAAAGAAAATGGCCGGGGCACGAGTTACGTTAAAGAAACTGTGCACTGCGAAAGTAAATTAGTAAAATTAATTGTATATATAATATACATTGATACAAAATAAATTTCTCCTACATTTTGAAGAATCTTAGAAAAAACAGTATTTTTATATGTATTGTATTTGATATAAAAATTACAACATTGTTGAGAATAATTGTAATTTGATACAAATTTTGAAATTAGAAGAATAATAAAAAATAGATAAAAATATCACGACCTGTAATTTGTGAACCACAAACGCAAATGCGTGCTGTTGGTAA